CATCTCCTTCAGACTGAGGAAAAAGGTTATCTCAAGTTATTCAGTGACCTTGAACTAATGTACTCAGAGTGTCCCTAAAACACCCTGGGACCGATACCTCTGATGCTTGGAGATGGTGGAACCTCTGGCACTGTAAGGCTGAAGCTTGTTCAGAGAGAGGAATTTCCTTGCTTTGAAATCCAGAAAAAGGAACTGAGTCAGAACAGACGTTGCTGTCCTGCTTAGAAAGCTGGGTGTGCTCATCAAACCCCAGAATTCAGCAGAGCAGCTCACTGGTGTATGTGATTCTCTATCCCAGAGGAGAGAGATTTTTACTTGAGTTGTGTAGGACCAGGGAAATGTGTTCTTGGAGTGCATTTTGACTTTAGTGCTGTAATGAGGAGTCATAATGCAGCGATACCAAAACGAAAAGGGAGGATTTTTTCAAAAGTAATTCTCGCATGTCTTCTACCTGAGAAAATCTGCCCTGGAAAATCTCAGGTGGGTACAAAATTTGAAAACACAGTGTTGTAGGAATTTAGTAAGAAAGAAATTCTTGCAGCTTCAGTATATTTACTAGCATAACTGTAATTAATGATCAGTATGACTACAGTGTTTTAATCCGTTCTCATTTAGGTAACCTCCTAATCAGGCTTTTTAGCTTTTTTGAGTAGGTCTTTGAAGTTTCTTATGTTCTCTGGCAAAAAGAAATCTGTTAAATTATTAGCTCTCCTGCCCTGTAATTTCAACTGTAAGAACTCATAATGAATGACTCTTAAGGAGGCAAAACTGACAAATTTTGTGTCTTGGGAATTTTAGCTTTTCTTAAATTAATTTTTCTGAGCTTAGGGAGGGAAAAAAATTCTAGTTTTGCCATCTCTTCATCGTTGTGCATTAGAAACAGCCGTTGTCTTTGGAGCTCGTTTTATCAACACCAGCAGCATCAAAGAAAGGGGAAAACCCCCCTGAACTTCGAGGAAATCTTTGTCTGCTGGTCCCAGGGTATCCACAGCACACAGGAGGTGACATGGGCCGTGCAGGGGTGTCCCTGGCTCTGGTGGGCTGTGGCTAACACGGCTGTGAGTGCAGCTGGGCCCTGGCTGTCCCACCTCTGGTGCTCTGTCAGACCTCTCTGCTCACTGCTGGGGGCAGAGGGAAGTGTGAATCACACCCTCTCAGCGTTTGCAAGGGTGCCAAAGCTGGGCAGGAAGGAGCTGCTTCCTCTTTCGTGCCTTGCTGGGTACCAGAGTACAGAGGCTGGAGAGCAGGACATCGGACTGGGCCAGCGAAACACCAGGTGTGTGCATACCTTTGGCAGAATTGCCAAGTGGAGCAACCTCAGAAAAAGAAGATATTTGTAACTGTCTGTGCCCAATGACTTATGTTTTCCTGGTTCAAAAAGCAGTGATATGTTTTTGGGAAGTCATGCTGAAGGGCTTGAAAAAATGCACCTTCTGTATTTCTTTTCACAACACAGAGGGCAGCAAGAAGCTTTTGCTTCCTAGTTGTGTCTCTGGCCCGTTAGTGAGGATTTTCCAGACTTAGCTGGCAGTGTAAGTCAGCTGGGATTTTGGTTTCTATTTTAAAATTATTTCCCAAGTATTAAAAAAAAAAATCTCCACAGATTGTCTAATGTCTGATAGTCTGAACATAGAAAGCTGATGCTGGAGGATTATTCTGTGCATATTGAGGCCAGAAGCATGCAGGTGTGCCTTCTGAAACAGGATGTACGGGGGTTAAGGGCCACATCTTCAGAGTATTTGCTTGATTTATAGATACTCAGACTCATACAGAGTACCTATAAATACTCTGTAGACTCATCTGTAGATGTTCTGACTTGTTGGCAACTCACTCTGTTTCCTCTAGGGTAAAACTGCTCAGTTGATCCTCCTCACAGGACTTTTGCCCAGCTGAGGAATTTTTCTGGCATGTGTTTGTTTCTCAAAGGAAGGATGCTAATCTCTGAGAACAATTGTGGTTCTTGTGTTGAAGCTTGATCTGGGTGCAGGCAGGTGTTGGACAAGCATCCTGGTGCAGGTCTGGCAGCCAACACTTCTGTCAGTCCTTCATCCTTTTTTGGCAAGGATCACAAATTGCACAATATGGGCGTTTATTTATGTATTTATTGTAACAACAGCTCATATACTCAAGGCTTGGGCTGGGATTTCAAGAAGAAACAGGACTCTGGGTCTTTCTGTTGGTTGTTGTTTAAAAAGCTGTTGGTGAGCTCTCCATATGTGGTACATTAGCTCTGTGGCAGTCTCTCGGGATGCAGAATTGGCCTCTGAAGGTAGCTAGGCAATCATTTCTGAATGCTTCCTTTCCTTTCCTTTGGGTTTTGGTTCATTTTTTGTCGGCTGAGCTGTTCCTTGGAGGTAAAGCTGCTGTTTCAGTGGGACTTTCTGCAGGAATCCATGATTAGTTAAGAGAAAGGAAGGAGGTGTTTCTGCCAGGCCAGTAAAAGTGCAAAGCTGTGTCGAGATCTGCTCATATCCCCTGTGTGTGGGGATGGCACTGCTCCATGGGGTGTCCTGCTCCTCTGGGTGTGGGTGCTCGATGTTCCTGCCCTCCTGGTTGCAGCTGAGGGCAGTGCTCAGCTGCTCCTTTTATGGTGCATGGTTTTGCTCTGGTAAGCAGGGGGGACTGTAACTTGCAAAGCCCTGTAGGAAAAAAAGAGGCAGCTTGATTGGAGGTGTTACCTTAAAAGTCAGGAATTTTTTATCCCCTGAGGAGAAGAAGTACATCGTTATACATCTTAAAAGTCAGGAATTTTCTATCCACTGAGGAGAAGAAGTACATCGTTATACAGAAGTGGATGATTGAGTTGTTCCACCCCACATTTTCGTCCTAAGGTTTCACAGAATCACAGGTTGTTTGGAAGGGACCACAGTGAGTCATGTGGTCCAAGCTTCCTGCTCAAGGAGGGTCATCCTAGAGCACATGGCTCAGGATTGTGTCCAGATGGTGACTGAGTATCTCCAGTGAGGGAGACTCCAGTACTTCTCTGAGCAATCTGTTCCAGTGCTTGGTTGATAGAGCAGATTGCCCGGGTTTCGTCCCGTTGCTGTTCTTGGCTCAAAGCCTCGTGCAGTGACAGCAGTCTGAGGTTTATGGGGATTGCAGTGACCCTAAGATTTTGGACCTCTCTGTCACTGGCTACCCAAAGTGGATCCTGATGTCTGAGGACATGAAACAGGAGACTGCTGGTGCCTCTTGAGAGCTTGGTCTCCTGAAGGTGGTTTGACTGTAGTACCTGGGCATAAGCTTTGAAAGCACATGGTCTCAAAACTGGGCATTAGACCTCATCCTTTCCTCTGTTTTTGGTGTATTTCTGGTTTGCAGCAGTGGGGGAAGAGAAACATTTCTCAACTCCTAAAAGTAAGGAGGAGGATGTTAGTCTTATTTAAACTTGTATGCTAAAACTGAGTTTCAGTTTGACTGTTTCCCTTCCATTGTGGTTGAAGGAAAACTTCCCATTTCCCAGAATCTAAATAGCTCCCTGCTCCTCATATTACTCATTTGTTTACTGGGTGTGCACTAACACATACAAAGTTGTATGTATGTGTATATACATATCTGTCTGTGTATTTGTATTTTCTAACCAGGTGCAAAATGACTGCTCAAGTAACACTGGAGGATGCCTTGTCCAACGTGGATCTCTTGGAAGAATTACCATTGCCAGATCAGCAGCCATGTATTGAACCTCCACCATCATCTCTTCTTTACCAGGTATTTTGTCATTGTAGGAAATAGAGTTTTCCCATTTCTGTTAAGAAAGAGTACATGCTTTTCAAAAAAAGCCCTCCCAAAACCAGTGTGTTTATACTGGCAATAAATGTATTAGTTCTTTTCTCATAGACTGGTTTGGGTGGAAGGGACCTTAAAGACAATTTAGTTCCAATCCCCTGCCATGGGCAGGGGCAACTTCCACTAGACCAGGTTGTTCAAAGCCCTATCCAGCCTGATCTTCAACCCTTGCAGAGGTGGGACATCCACACTTCTCTGGGCAACCTGTTCCAGTGCCTCACCACCCTCACAGTAAATAATTTCTTGCTAGTATCTAATTTAAACCTACTCCATATCCCTTCTTTCTATCACTACATGCCCTTGTAAAAAATCCCGCTCCAGCTCTCTTACAGGCCCCTTTGGGTACTGGAATGCTGCTCTAAGGTCTCCTGGAGCCTTCTCCAGGCTAACCAATGCCAGCTCTCTCAGTTTTTCTGCCTGGGAGAGGTGCTGCTGCCAAAGATTTTCCCTACCAAAGATTTAATTCTGTATTTTCCTTTCTCTGCAGCCAAACTTCAACACTAATTTTGAAGACAGAAATGCATTTGTCACTGGCATTGCAAGATACATCGAGCAAGCTACAGTCCATTCTAGCATGGTAAGTGGGTGTTGGGATATATGCATGGAGTACTTGGAATGAAAGGAGAGGAACGTGTCTTCTTGCAGGTCATTGTAAGAATTGTAACAAAGAACCTGGAAAACAAGCATCTACAACATCTAAGATGAGAAAGTTTGTGTCTTTTTTTTTTCACATGTACTACTTCCTAGTTTTTAAGTTGCCTTTCTTCTTGATCAGCCAGTGTTGGTCAAAGGTTGTCTTGCATTCATTAGGTGTTTTTACAGTATTCTGAGGTCAGTTAGTTCTGTTGACAGCTAGTTGCTGTAACTTGAATGAAAAGTTACCTTCCATCCTCGCAAATTTCCACTATTTCTGTCAGTTTAGTGGTGGTGAAAGGTTTTCGTTGGCTTCCTCGCTGAGGAGTGTTAGTGGTTTGTTGGCATGCTTTTGTGTAAGGCATGCTGTGATTTTTAACAGTTCCACAAGAGATGATAAGAATTCCTGCTAGGAATTCCCATCTCTGCTGACAGTGTAACTGTTTTGGGATACAAAAGAGCCTACAGGCTGCACATGCTGGTCTGTGCTGAACTTGTTGTTTCATGGCATTCTTGGAAAATGAGGAATAATATGTCTTGTAGTTCTAGAGGCCAGTACACAGATGGTAGAATGTGCAGCTTAAGCCCCTGGTTACATGCTGCTGAAAATTATCTATGTTTACACGAATCTACTTTTAAAATTATTTGGTGACCCCTTAACCTGCTTGGATTGTGTGGATGCTGTTGGACCTCTCCCTTGCCATGTAAAAAAAGGATATAACTCTGCATGTGCTGACTCTTTCATCCACTGCATTCCACCTGCAGTGCCTGAATTTAAGAAGGAAAGTAAACACCACCCTATCACCCTCCCACCTCAGATGAGCATTTTCATTTCTCTTTATAGACCACAGTGTTTAGTTTTGGGAATGTGAATAATGTGAATGGCCTCAGAATTAGGCTGGATCCTAATTGGCTGAGAATAAATGGAATTGTTTTAGCTGTTGGGTTATAGGCAAGCTGTACATCAGTAGCTCTGATACATGCAATATTCCAGCTGAGCCTGTGGGTTGTGGTAATGCTGTTTCGTGTGCATACAGTGTGGTGTGTCGTTCAGTGTGTGAGTATCTGTGCAATATTGGTGTGTTTGTACATTACATTCTGATAAGGAAATAGCTTTGTTTGGACAAGTGTTTGGAATGGCACAAGACATGTGGATTTAACCCTTTTGTATTGCAATGCCTAATTCTATTGAGTGTCTTTCCTACAGAATGAAATGCTAGAAGAGGGTCAGGAATATGCAGTCATGTTATACACGTGGAGAAGCTGCTCAAGAGCCATTCCTCAGGTAAAGGGTGAAACGTGGACTGTCATGCACCGTGTGAACTTCTGTCTTGTTTTTGTGTGGAGCTGCAGATAGAACTTTCTCAGTCAGCTCCTGAGTGTAGTCTGCTTTGACTCCTGAGTCGCTAAGCTGGACATGCCACAGGAGAGTGGCTTTTAGCACTTGGGGACCAGCAGGACTTTATTGTTGTTTATAGGGTGTCTGTAGCAATACCTCATGGGTTTTGTGTCAGCCTTACTGTTTCAAGAGTGGCATAGGGATAATGTGCTTTGAAAGGAAAACTTCTGATTGTGGAGTCTCAGGTCAAAAAATCAAGAGAATGGGCCCTAAAAGGAAAACACCTGGTTGTGGAGTCTGAGGTCAAAAAATCAAGAGAATGGGCCCTTCCCATTCCCCAGCTTAATACTTAGATTCAGAACAAGTTTAACAAGTAGCATGGCATGTAACAGTTAACATTCAGCTTAAACAATTTAAGGTTCTAAACATCCCAGGTAGTCACTTCTTAAATGTCACAGCCACCTAGTGTTTTCCTGATCTGTATACAAGAACAAACTGCTGAGAATAGGTGACGAGTCAGCCCCAAGTGTCTGGAAATGGTTGTGCAGGCCTGGGGTGGGAAGAATATTAAGAAGCTTCAGAAAACTGAGCAAAATTGTTATCATTAGTTGACTCATTCCGTGATAAGGAATTTGTAGTAAAATTATCTATTATCATTAGTTGACTCGTTCCTTGATAAGGAATTTGTAGTAAAATTATCTTTGTACTGAAGTGCAAGGAAGACTTATCCTGTGGTTTAAATATTTAGAGTGGGGGTCAGGTAATCTGTTTTAATTTCTAGTTCTTGCCCTATTTTATTGCATGATTTTGAGCAAGTGGCTCAATATGGAAAGAATATTGTTCTAACCATACAGAGGTGTTTAACGACTGAATTCCTTGCTGTAAGACAGTAGAACAATCTTAGACTTTCTTTTTACACAGGATAAAGCTTAGAAGACTAGCATAAGATTTCCAAACCTGGAAATTTATGTCTTAAGTTTGAGTGTTTAGTTTTATAATGCATTTTCTCAGGGTCTTGGTTTCTGTGTCTTTATCAGGGTAAGTTCCAAGTGTAATAATCTCTTTAATTATCCACAGGTCAAGTGCAACGAGCAGCCTAACAGAGTAGAAATTTATGAGAAAACTGTGGAAGTTCTGGAGCCAGAAGTCACAAAACTGATGAATTTTATGTATTTTCAGGTAAAAGGAATGGAAGCAAAATTTGGCAGTAGGCTTGTAATTTTATATTCTGATTGTGTACTTGATATTGTGTGCCTAGATACTGACCCTAGTTGTTATACTTGAGAAAAACCCCACAGTATTCTCCCACAGAAGGGCAGAATTTCTAATATCTGTCTTAAAAACTGTATCTCCATGAAGACTTTGAGCAGAAAATCAAAGGTAATTGCTTACAGTGTCTATGCAGCACAGGGGGACAGAGACATGGCACTTTAGGAGGAAAGGAAGTAGAAATAGAATGTGTTTCACATAAACACATAAAACCAGGAGCCATTTGCTGGGGGATGAGGGACCCACAAGTCTGGACACCAGAGCAGCAGGTGCAGCTTTGCCATGGCAATTGATAATTGAGGCAAGCTAAGGCAGCCCCCCCAGCTGCAGGATGCTGCAGAATGGCAGTCTGTCCTGCTGTCTCCTCCCTCCTGGCAGCTTGCCCTTTATTCCAGTGCACTGGGGATGTTTCCAGGCATTATTCAGAGCTGGAGCAGCTAGAGCCTGTGAGGGCCTGGAGCACACAGGAAGAGGAGACTGAATGTAATGTAGGATTTCCTGTTGCCTTTCCCAACTGGGGGGTCTTACAAACAATCTCCTTTCATTCAAGCAGATTGCTGGTCTGAAGTCAGAACAGTTTCCTTCTTGCATTTGAAATTGCTGCTTTTTTTGTGCTTGTAATCTCCACCTGAAATGGCCCTGGTGTGTGCTTGGAAATAAGCCCTCCAATAAATGTGTGCCAGGATGGTTCTGAGAGTTGGCATGTACAGAGTGCTCTGGATTTTTTGGTTTGTTTGTTTGAAGGGAATGTACCTATAATCTGCATTGAATGCATATGTAATTCCTCACTAAGGAGCTTGAAATCACTTGTTTTGAAGGGGTTTTAAACGTCATAGAATCAAACAGTTTGGGTTGGAAGGGTATCTAAAGACCATCTAATTCATCCCCTCTGCAGGGGGATGAGCTGTATTTTCAGCTGTTTAATTTGGCCTTGAACACTTCCAGCAGTGGAGCATCCTTCACCTCTCTGGGCAGCCAGTTCCAGTGCCTCACCGCCCTCATTGTAAAAAAGTCTTTCTTATAACCAATCTAAATTGACCATCTTTTAGTTTCAAACCGTTACCCCTTGTCCTGTTTTTTATTTAATCTGCCTGTGTCAAGCAAGCTCTGTCGCAAGAGTCAGTGGTGGCTCTTGTAGCACACGTCAGGTACACAGAGGTGGAGCTGAAAAGCCTGCACTGATGCCTTGCTAGTTTTGCATGCTTTACACATTGTTCTGCTTCAGAGGAGTTTTTCCTTGGACCAGCTCTAGGTATGCAATTAAGCTTTTCCCCTGGAAACATCGTAGATTTTACTCCCTTTTTCTCTCTTTTTTCCCGCGTTAGAGAAACGCAATTGAACGCTTCTGTGGGGAAGTGAGACGCTTGTGCCACGCGGAGAGGAGGAAGGACTTTGTGTCTGAAGCGTATCTGATCACCCTGGGCAAGTTCATCAACATGTTTGCGGTGCTGGATGAGTTGAAGAACATGAAGTGCAGCGTGAAGAACGACCATTCGGCCTACAAGCGGTGAGTGCCGAGGGATGCAGGGTCCAGGTCTCACACCAGCTGGCAGTGGGTGCTGAGATTGGATTTTTTGGACAGCTGTTTCTTCAAAAGTAGTGCCTTCATGAGTGGGACACATCACCTTGAAACTGGGGATAATTTGGCTGCAGTCAGGCAGTTGAGTATTTTCTTTGTGCTGTTCTTCCAGCAGCAAAAGGTTTTTCTGCCTTTTGATGCCAAATACTTATGTCTTGGTGTGTGCTAATGTGCTGATTTGAGCTGGGGTGGAGGCAACTTTCTTCCCAGTGGCTGGTATGGGGCTGTGTCTTGGGTTTGTGCAGAGCACAGGGTTGGTAATGCAGAGATGATTTGTTATTGCTGAGCAGAGCTCACACAGAGCCAAGGCCTTTGCTGCTTTCTGTCCTGCCACACTGGGGAGGGAGTTGGGGGTACATGGGAGATTGGGAGGAGACACAGCTGGGACAGGTGACCCAACCTGACCAAAGGGATATTCCACACCATAGCACATCATGCTCAGGGGATAAGGTGGGAGGAAGGAGGAGGAAGGGGAGGATGTTTGGAGTTCCCAAGTAACCTCTTAGACATGCTGGTCCCTGCTCTCCTGGAGGTGCTGAACACCTCCTGCCCAGGGGAAGCAGTGAAGTAATTCTTTGTTTTGCTTTGCTTGTGTGCATAGTTTTTGCTTTGTCTATTAAAATGTCCCTATCTTAGTCTATGAGTTTCCTAGCTTTTACCCTTCTGATTCTCTCCCTGATCCCAGTGGTGGGGGAGTGAGTGGCTGTGTGGGGTTAAACCATGACAGCTGAATGTAATGAACATACTTGGTTCGGAAAAGCTTTTATTTTTGAGAGGAAAAACTGCTTTCTGGTCACTTGTACTGCTTCTATTCCATTCTGTTTTATACTTGGCATCCACTTTGGACATTTCATAGCTGAGTGTTGCTACACTTAAGACATTTCAGCTTTGCTGTGCAGCATCACTGTGACAGCAGGTGTAGCAGGGAGGGGAGGAGGAGTGAGGTGTCAGTGGCCAAGTTTTGTGCTTGAGCTGCTAGATGGTGTCAGGTACCTTTTGTCAAGCACAGTGCTCAGCAGCAGGACCAGGCAGCCTTTGTGCCAGCTGTAGCATCTGTGGTCTTTTGTAAAGAAAACTATCCAGGCAGTGACTGGTCAGTTTTACCTATGCTGCTTCTATTTACACGAGGTTTAGTTTCTACCTCCACAGGTAGTTGCCTGGTGTAGTTATTGCTGTGCCTGGACACCTGGTTTGCCTTTCTCTTTCAATGGAATTGTGCTTCTGGAGGCCAAACTCTTGTTTTCTAGAAGGCTGTTGTGTGGCTTGGACCTACAGAGCCACAGCTGCACCCATCAGTTGACTCTTGTTTTCTGGAAGGCTGTTGTGTGGCTTGGACTTACAGAGCCACAGCTGCACCCATCAGTTTAAAGATATACCCAGTGTGTTTTGCTCTGGGTTTTACTGGATCTTTAATTAGGGTATAGTGGGGGATTTGGGATTGTAAAGCAGTTTGTTTTGGATAAATTAAATCCATCTCTCTCTTCTAGTGAATTTTTCACCTTTCTTTTGGGCTGTTTTCTTAGAAAGTCTTCCCTTTACAAAACAGGGTCTTGACACAGTTTTGTGGTGTCCATAGCCTGTGTTTGAATCACTCAGTGCTGTAAAGCTATGGCAAGAAATACTGCCCATGTCTGCTGAGGTCTCGTGTTGCTTCAGTCAGGAGGTTGGGGATGGGTGACAACCTTCACAATGTTACACCATTGTACTGGTGCTTAAAGATGTGCTGACAACTTACTGTTCCCCTGACAGATTTGGGGATGGGTGTGTTTCTGTTGAGAGGAAATAATTTGCTTACAAATAGTCCTGGCCAAGGGACATCATGTTTTTACTTCTGTTTTTACAGAGCTGCTCAGTTCCTGCGGAAAATGGCAGATCCTCAGTCCATTCAAGAGTCCCAGAATCTCTCCATGTTCCTTGCCAACCACAACAAGATAACACAAGTAAGCTTTGATTGTCATTTTGCAAATTACCTAATGCTTTACAAAGCATTTAAAATAGAACTCTTGCAGTTTGGTGGTAGCTGTTCCCCAGAAAGTATAAGTACTTGACCAATGTCCTTCTTTCTTTTTCCCAGTCCTTACAGCAGCAGTTGGAGGTGATTGTTGGCTATGAAGAGCTGCTTGCAGACATTGTGAATTTGTGTGTGGACTACTATGAAAACAAAATGTATCTAACGCCCAGTGAGAAACACATGCTTTTGAAAGTAGGTTTCTTTTGAACACAAATCAAAAAGCAATGTTGAGTCAGGACACAGGTGTTTGAATTCCTGATCGTCGTGATTGGGGCTTGTTTGGTTTTTTTTAAGGAACCAGATTAACCAATAATTCAAATTATTCCTTCTGTTTCCCCCTTGTCTCCATTGTCCATTTATTGTATTACATGCTAAATGTATTTAGAAAGGTTCTAATCCATTTTTGTTTTTCATGAGTTGAAGTTGACCCAATTGAACTGCATTCAGTTCTATGGAATTGTGTTTCTATGAAGTATAATGGCAGGAGAAAGGAACTACTACATTTTATTTTAGATACGCGGCAAGTCTGTATAGGAAACTTGGAAAGTGAGAATGTGTATCAAATATTTCAGGGAACAAGTAGCTTAAAAGTAGGGTTAATAAGTTTAGTGAGCTGGAATATGTACATGAAATAAGAGGGTGCTGGACAACATGAAATGAGGTTATGTCATCAGCTGCATGACTTGCTGTGGAAGAAAAGCTGTAGAGTATGAACTGAAAATTTGCTTCATGGCAAATATTTTGACTTCTGAAGATCTCTGTTTATTAAGACCAGATGAAATCCTCCTGAAACCACATGAGCTCTGGAGCATTCCTGTTCTGTCTCTATGGGTGTCCAATGTGTCTTCCATATTTCAGCCTCTGGTTCAGTAAATTCATGCTTAGAACACATGAAGTGGCTATGCTCAGCTCCTGGAAATACTAAATTATGACTCTGTGTTAATAAATAACCTGAACAAAATGTCATGACATCTTTCTTGGATGCTTCTGAGCTCTCGTGGTTACAATTTAGAGGAGTGTGGAAAGCCATAAAAAGCAATCACTCAGATGTTAGATCTAAACTTCTCTTACAGATTAGCTTGCACACACAGAATTTTAGTGAAATGCAAGTGGCAAAAAACCTGTCTAAAAATAGGCAGACTCTGGTTTCAGCGAGATATTTTGTGTGTGCTAAACCTTTATATAAACAAGTAGCATCTTTTAAGGATGATTGGTGAGGTTAATGTAAAAACTGCTAATCCACATATAAATAAAAGGATGCTACAGAAATGTATGTATTTGAAAATCTGTTTGGAGGAGGTTGGGTGTTTCAGGACTGTTTTTCAAATATTACTTTGGTTTTTTAATGATATGAATAACAGTCTTAGTGCAGCAGGTTTTTACCTCTGAGGTCCTTCTGCAGAAAGGTTTGATTTTTTTTTTTTCTTTTTCAGGTGATGGGCTTTGGATTATACCTGAGTTGCAGAAAGGTTTGATTATTTTTTTTTCTTTTTTAGGTGATGGGCTTTGGATTATACCTGATGGATGGAAGTGTCAGTAACATCTATAAGTTGGATGCAAAGAAAAGGATAAATTTAGCTAAGATTGACAAGTACTTTAAGGTTGGTTAAGACGTGATCTTAATATGTGATTTCGTAGGTAATTCTGCTTACATTTTAGATGTTATAAAATAGAATAATAAAGATCACTTTGGATTATAATGTGGATAAATAATGGCTTCCTCTCACAAAGATTTGTGTTAGTCATTAATCTGATTTATTCTGTGTGTGCAGCAGTTGCAGGTTGTCCCACTGTTTGGTGACATGCAGATTGAACTCGCAAGATACATTAAGACCAGTGCCCATTATGAGGAGAATAAATCCAGGTAAGACAGAGAATGGAACAGAGGGAAATGTCTGGGCTGGGTAAAGTCAGACCCTTGGAGAATCTTTTCATAATCACCTGTTAGTCTGTGGGTCTGTGGTAATGAAGAGGATTTTTACCTGTTATACTCTTTCAGTGTGGGCATTTCACCATGAATGTAATTCATGTAATAGGTGCAACTAAAGAAACTGTTTAAAAACCTTTCTGTGCTGCTGAGCTCATTCTTGTATCTGTGGCATTTCTTATCAGCTGGATTGGAAGAAATGAATTTTACCTAACACTAATTTAATTCTTATTTTTTCCTTTAAATATGAAACTTTCTTTAAAAGAAATGAAGGATTTTACTAAGCAAGGTGAGCAGTAGTAGTGCATGGGTAAATAGGCATGTGCATATTGTACATGGAGCAGCAACTCAGCTTCTCTCCCCCCTCTTTTCTTTTTTTTTGGCTAGGTGTGCAGCACAGCAAAATGTTGGAAAATACAGCCAGTTGTTGCATAAATGGTTCCATGATTTATGGTTATTGCTTTGTTTTAGTGAACATTTCTGTGCTCCTCCAAGACCTTCCCTCTATGCAGTTACATGAATTTAGAATGTTGTGCTTTGCATTTTAATTCCTGCAGAAAAAAAAAGCCACATAACCTGCATGTAATAGCAAAGAGAAGTCAACAGCAATGGGCCTACTGAGCTACTAAAAACACGAGACTACTTAACATGACATTTTTGATGGCATGTTTTTTGTGTACCTCTTGGTAAAATGTAATGTAATATTGCTTTTTTTTTCTAGTTGGGAGCATACTGTAGGCTCTTCATGGTTAAACAAGAAAAAGCAAATATCTGAAGGTAGCTAGATGTATCTTGCAGCCTATACCTGAACTTCTGCCCTGCCTTTCAGTCCTTTTTGTTCTTGTTCCTAACTGTAGGCCCCTCAAGAGAGTTGCTGGTTTGTATTTCATGGCAGCAACCTTTGAAAAACAAACCCCTCAATAAAACTCCCCCAAGAAACAAACCTGAAAAAGAAAAACTTGGGTGTTTTTTTTTCCTTAAGACTTTGGAAGAAGTGCTGTTTGAACTCAGAAGGGCAGTTCCTCACTCGTGGGTTGTGCAGAGCTAGAGGTAAAGGTGTGAAGAGAGGAGAGGCCTCAAATAGAGGAGAAGATGTATAAAAAAAGGAAAAGGAGTAATGCATTGTGGCATTGTGATCTGTCTTTGCAGTACCAGTTGTGCTGTTTATTGCCTAAATGGTTTAGGTGGGTGTTTGTTGTCTCCTGAAACAGGTGGACGTGCACATCTTCCAGCAGCAGTCCCCAGTACAACATCTGTGAGCAGATGATCCAGATCAGAGAGGACCATATGCGTTTCATATCAGAACTGGCTCGTTACAGCAACAGTGAGGTGAGTGGGGCTGGAGCTGTGAGTGCAAACTGCACATCACTGACTAACAGTTGTTGTTAACTGTGTGAAGAGCAGATGAGCCCCAGGCCAGAAAAATGACAAAGCCTGATCCCCTAAGTCAAGAAAAGCTGACTGCAGGGCGAGGACCCATTCTCTGCAGTGTTTGCATGTCCTTCTGCCTCTTTCTTGATACATATCTAGGATATATGTCCTAGAGCTTTTGCTATATCTCCTTCAGAACGTGTTGTCCAGCCCTTAATCCAAACAGGTGCTTGTAACAGTTTAATGAAACTAAAAGTTAAGGGATTAGTAAAAGTAAAAAGAAATGCACATCTATACATACATGTATGTGCAGTTTTGGGCACCACAATATGAAATTTCCTAAGTTATTGGAGAGTGTCCAAAGGAGGCAGTGGAGGTGGTGAAGGGCCTTGAAGCCACATGAGGAGTGGCTGAGGTGACTTGGTCTGTTCAGCCCAGAGAAGAGGAGACTGAGAGGAGACCTCATCGCTACATAGAACTTCCTCACGGAAGGGAGTGCAGGGGCAGGCACTGAACTCTTCTCTCAGGTGACCAGTGACAGGAGCCAAGAAAATGGGCAGAAGTTGTGTCCGAGAAGGTTTAGGCTATATATTAGGAAAAGGTTCTTCACCCAGAGGTGTTTGGGCACTGAACATCTCCCCAGGGCAGTGGTAACAGCACCAAACCTGACAGAGCTCCTGAGGCATTTGGACAACGCGCTCCGGCACATGGTGTGATTTTTGGGGACGTCCTGTGCAGGGCAGGAGTTGGACTAGATGATGCTTGAGGATCCCTTTCAGCTCTGATTATTGTGATTCTGTGATATGCATATATCTATATAGAACATAAAACTATGTATATTGTATATAATTGGTGTTTTGAATTCATGTGCAACAATATTTTGCTTATTAGGGATAGCAGTGATGTGCATCTCTTGACCAAAATCCGTGAAGTTTAATTCCATAAATGTCTAGACAAAATGCCTGATATGAATGCAGGTGTTGACATGATGTTGTTTTAGTGCTTAAAAGAAATCTACATTACAAAAATGGCTAGGGGTGCTGGATACAGCATGTTCTGACGAGGGTTTGTGTCTGTCTGTTTTGGCTGTTCAATGATGCTCCAGGTGGTGACTGGGTCTGGTCGCCAGGAAGCTCAGAAAACAGACGCTGAGTATCGGAAGCTCTTTGATCTCTCTCTCCAAGGCCTGCAGCTTCTCTCCCAGTGGAGTGCACATGTCATGGAAGTGGTATGTTACCTGGGAAATCAAACCCCATGAAAAAGAGGTGGCTTGGTGAGGTTAGACAGAATAAAACTGCTTTGCTTCAGTGGAGTGAAAAATGCATGTTGTGTTTTGTTCCCTTAATTCCCCTCTTGCTTCTTCCTTCACTCGGTGTCTCCTTCTGCTCCAGACTCCATTCTGGGACGAAGGCACACACAGTTCTCAGAGTCTGGGGGGAATGTTGCTGCTTTGGAGATCCAGTGGCTCATACAATCTCATACAGTACATTCAGCTTGTGATATTCAATGGATTGGCTGTCACCTGTGAACCTTCACCAGATGTTTGTTTGTTGCACTTGCCCTAAGTCTTCATTATTTTCCTCTAAACGTTGTTTGAATGTGATGTTGTTAGAAATACCCATACTGGCGTGCAGCCATCCAGGAGGTGACAGAGCAGCTCCAACTGGCTGTGTTTGGACATCACTGCTTAGTACATTGAAGCATGTACAGTCTTAACACACTAGAATGGCTGAAAAGTCTCCCTTTGGCTTTAGATCAGGCTTTTGGTCAAAAGGAAAGTAAATAAATGCGGGGTAAGTAAATTTGAGAGGAAACAAGGGAGGGCAAATAAAGAACCTGCAGAGTTGTTTCTCTATATTGTAATAGTTTCCTTTAAAGACAGATGCCAGTTAGAAAAGTTACTCTGGTTTTGTCTTTTTTCCAATAAGAAACTGCTTAAGACAGAAATTGAAGAGGAGGATGCAGAATTCGTTTTTATGCTGCAGCCTTAGCTGAAGCAAAGCATGTTCCAGGGAGGGTTGAAACAGATGACATGGTGTGAGAGAAGCCAGACTTGCTTCTCTTGTGCCTTTGATGTCTGAGGGAGCATCAAGTCATTTGCACCGTGAATCCAGCTCAGGCACAGGGGCATAGCTAGAGACCCAGTTTTCTTTCTCTTCTGTATTTTTAACTGCCTCTTTTAAAAGCCAGTAGATGACTCATGCTTTTTCCTGTCTTATCTTACTCCTATTTAAATCAACAGCGTATTTTATGGTGAAAATCTTGTTCTCCCTTTCTCCTTTTAAGAGAAGTTGCTATCATCTGTGCCTGACCTCTGCTCCCTTTATTTTCGTCATCGCAAATTGCTTCGTTCAGGCTCTTTTCACAGTGCCAATCTTCCTGTTTCATTATATCTCTGAAGGAAGTGTCTCATTCTTAGCTCTGTTTTTATCCTCCTCATTCCAGAACAAACTTTCTCTGAGCGTCAGAGCAGGTTTTGGGTTTTTTTTGGCTATTATCACTGCTTTTCTTTGTCTTTCTAATTTGTATGGATTCCCATAAGTACTTCTCTTGTAGATTCAAGTTTGTGTTCCCCTTCTCCCTATCCTCCTACTGAGAATTTATTCTGATCTGGAGTATTCTGATTATTTACCTGTCTTCTGCATTCACTCATGATCCTAGTTACATGCATCATGTTCAGATGTTTTCCATCTTAACCCTGTCCACTTGACACCCCCAAAATACTCATCTTTGTTTAATCATTTCCCAAGTGTCCTCTCAGCAGCACTTAGGCTGCAGGGTGTGATGCTCCTCTTTGCCATGGGTAAATTGGTGCTGTTACTCCATTATAGTAGGCAAACTTAGATTGCTCTGCAATCTAATGTTGATATCATCTAATGCAAAGATGATGTCAACCAGACCTTACTATTCACTGAACTCAAACTGTGAAAAATTGTATTTAAATGTGACTAGGTTTTTTCACTTGAAGTACCCTGATGGATCTTAGACCGGGCTGACACTGCTCAGGGACACTTTGAGCTGTGTTTGCAGTGACTCAGAGGGCAGTGTTCAAGAGAAATTCCTG